ATTCTCTTTGTTCAGGCAATTACAAAGGCCTGCCCAAGAATATGTAAAAAGCTTTGTGGGCAGCACTGAGGGTTCCGCGAGGTTGGGGCCAGTCAATTGGTAGTAGCCCCTCTCTGCCAGGTTGTGTGTTTCCCCAGTTGTCCACTGCCCGGGCCTACAAGTTAGCAAGGTCGATTGATCCCGGGGTGGGATCTTTGCTGAGCAGCTGGGATGGAGGGAGAGGGCTAGAAAGTTATCAAAAGTGTTGATGAGAAGGCAGTTCAGATGGTTCACCAAGGAGTTCGGACCAAGGAGAAATATCTGGAAGACCAGTAAGTTCTGCTAGAAGGAGAAAAAACAAAAAACTTCAGGCCCACAGGGTCCTAGTGATGTCAAAGAACACGTGTAAGTGGAAGGAAGGCAGTAGTGGGGGTGTACAGGAGCCAGCTCACACCAGCTAACGAGAGCCAACTGTTAAACTTTCAGGAACCCTTGTGAGCTGATTGTTAGACCAGTGGTCACTTGCAGTGGGGCATGGGGAGAGTATGGACACCGTGGAAACAGGGGATATTGGGCTTGACACCTCAGAGATGGAAAGCTGTGTGGGATGTTAAGGCCATGGGATGGCTGAAGAGGAGAGGAGGTGAGTGCCTTGGAATTAAGTGAGGGTCCTGTGTTCATCTTGTAGCTTCAATGCTGACGACGGTGGGGCTTGTGATGGAATGAGGCACCCAAGTCTTCAGTGACATGAAGACGTGAAGAGTCCAGGGGGACACTTCATGACAGCATCAAAGCAGAGAAGAAACTGAATGAATAAGCCCTGTGACAAAGACTTCCCCCTAATCCTTAGCTGAGCACATGGCTTCACTTCCCCATTTCCTGTGCAAGTTACCTGTGGTCATGTGGCTATCTTCTGGCCACCATGGTGTGAGCAGAAGTGATGTTTGCAACTTGTGGGTCTCACTCTCAAAGGAATGAGAGCTGTTCCTGGGCCCCATTGTTTTCCTTCCTGTGGGCTGGAATGTAGACACAACGGTGAGGCACCTCAGACCTTGCTGAGGAGGGCAACACCTGACGGGCAGCAGAGCAACCTTGGAGGAGCCTGGGTTCCTGAGAAGGTCACGGACAGAGCCACCAGATCAGCCCCAACTTTTCCAAGAGACAAGTAAACTTACTAACATGTTTAAGTTACTGTTGTTATGTTGGGTCTCTGGCCTGTCCAGTCCATACTATAACCTAACTACGACAAACCTCCAAGCAACAGGAGGTGACTCTGAAGCTGGAAGTTATCGGACTGCCCCTGTGCAGGGCTCAGGAGCAAGCATTCTCCACTGCGGGTGAGCTTCACGGGAAGGGAGATCCTCAGGGAAGAAGCAGGTTAGGCTGGGAGGCGAAGTGGTTTGGGCACAAGCTGAAGCTACACAAATTGACCCGTACATGGGATAGCACACAGGAGGCAGCTTGAAGAGACCCTCGCTGGTCAAATCTGGGCAATTTTTAAGTATCAAAAAAATGAATGGACATGGCGTGTATTATTGATGATAATATTATATCGATGCAAAGTTTCTGGACTGTGATCCTTGTAGTGTGGTTATTTGGGAGAACTTTGTTCTCTGGAGACACATGTGGAAATATTTAAGGGGAAGAGTCATGTATCTGGAAACTAAAATCACACATTTCATCAAAAAAAGTTTATAACTGAGCGACCTAAGTGGCCCGGCCCAGGTGAACAACCTAAGGCTCTGCTCCTCACCCAGCTGCGAGAAACAGCAGAGGGGGCCGCCATTTCCCCACTCTGACCACGCCCCCACATACAGCGTCACAACCCAGCGACCTGGGAGTCCAAGGCTCCGCTCCTCAGACTTAACGGGCGCAAACAGACCAAAAATGGCTCAAGAAGATCTCAAAACCCCAGAGCCTATAAATCTAAGCGATGAAGAAATACCAAAACTCTCGGATGCACAGTTTAAAACACTGGTGATCAGGATCCTCACAGAACTGGTTGATTATACCGACAAATTAGACAAACATATGAAGGTGAAACTAATTGAAATGAATGGAATTGCACAGGACACCAATAGCGATGAAAAGGAAACTGGGACTCAAATCAATGGAGTGGACCAGAAGAAAGCAAATAATGGCCAAATAGAAAAGAGTGAAGAAGCAAGAATTCAAAAAAATGAGGAGAGTCTTAGGAACCTCCAGAACATCTTTAAACGCTCCAACATCCAAATTATAGGGGTACCAGAAGGGGGAGAGGAAGAACAACAAGTGGAAAACTTATTTGGACAAATAATAAAGGAGAATTTCCCCATTCTGGCAAAGGAAATAGACTTCCAGGAAATCCAGGAAGCTCAGAGAGTCCCAAAGAAGTTGGACCCCAGAAGGAACACACCAAGGCACATCATCATTACATTAGCCAAGATTAAAATGAAGGAGAGAATCCTAGAAGCAGCAAGAGATAAGGGGACAGTCACCTACAAAGGAGTTCCCATCAGACTGTCAGCGGATTTCTCAAAAGAGACCTTACAGGCAAGAAGTGGCTGGGAAGAGGTATTCCAAGTCATGAAATCCAAAGACCTATATCCAAAATTGCTCTATCCAGCAAAGCTTTAATTTAGAATGGAAGGGCAGATAAAGTGCTTCTCAGATAAGATCAAATTCAAGGAGTTCATCATCACCAAGCCCTTATTATATGAAATGTTAAAGGGACTTATCTAAGAAAAAGAAGTTAAAAAAACACGAACAGTGAAAGGATAACAAACTCACAGTTATTAACGACCACACCTAAAACAAAAGCAAACTAAGCAGACAGCTAGATCAGGAGCAGAACCATAGAAATGGAGATCACATGGAGGGTTAGCAACAGGGGAGTGGGAGGAGAAGGGGGGAGGAGGTACAGAAAATAAGTAGCATAGACAGTAGATAGAAAATAGATGGGGGGGGACAAGAATAGTATGGGAAATATAGAATCTAAAGAACTTGAGACACATGGTCATAAACTGAAGGGGGGTAATGGTGGGGATGGGGGTAGGATGGAGGGTAATGAAGGGGGGAATAGAACAACTGTAACAGCATAGTCAATAAAAAATAAATTAAAAAAAGTTTATAACTATAGATAGAACAAATGTGGCAAGGTGATAATAATTAGTGTATGAAGGTAAAGACACAAAAAACAAATGAAACAAAAAAAGGTGAGCTGGAATGGGGGGTTGTTTCTTTAAAAAGGGCGCTCCAGGGACTCAGAGGGATGATCTGAGAGAGGGAGGACTTTGCCACTTCCCAAATCACCCTGTGCCTGTTCACCAGGAGTCCAATAGCCATTGTTGTCCGAGGCTCAAAACGGGGCTTTGTTAAAAAAATATTTGTGGGAGGTCCTACGACGTGGCCCCATCCTCCCCACCTGGGAAGAAAGGCTGGGGGACCTCACAGCAGCACCTCTTGGGATGAGGGTTGAGGTCTTTCTGGGCAGAAAGGCCTGGTGATCCTACCCTCCTGGGTTTCCTCCTTCCTCACTCCTCACTCCTCTGGCATTTTAGCTCAAAAAGTTAGATTTCCCTGTGGCTCTGCCCAAGGCCTTCTTCTCCTGTCTTTCTCCCTCCCTCCTTAGGTGAAACGCTTCACTCTCAAGGAGTATCTCCAGCTACACACACACACACACACACACACAGACACATTCGTTTATTCAGTTGCAGCTGGACACTTACACTTGGTTGAATCACAGCCCCCTTCAATTTAACATGTCAAAAACGGAGCTCTCCAATTTTCCCCAACCTGGTTCTCTTCAGTATTCCCACCTCAGTAAACAGTACTGCTTCCTTCCCTATGTCCAATCCATCTTGGAAGTTCTTCCTTCAGATGATAACCTAGACCTGTGCACTCCTCCCCATCCACTGGGTCACCATCACCCCTCACCTGGATGGCTCCAGTAGCTTCCTAACTCATCTCTCACCTCTGCCCCTGGCTTCCTGAAGTCCATCCTCCTCCTAGAAGCCAGAGTAATCTTTTTAAGACATAAATCAGAGCGAGCCCTCTCCTGACTTGACATCCTTCTCCTGGGATAAAAATGCCATCTTCGACAGGGATACCCTGCACCAAGGGTGTCAAACTCATTTTCACCAGGGGCCCCATCAGCCTCCCCAGTGCCTTCAAAGGGCCCGCCCCCAAGAGCAGAAGCATCACAGAGGTAGAGTTTACACTGTGTTTCCAGGGTCTGCTAGGCTCAGTGGTCACAGATGTTTGTTGAAAGAATTAATTTACAGATGACAACTTTACGTGTTTTAAGTAACCTTACTTGGAACCCCCACTGGTATAACTCAGTGGATTGAACACCGGCCTCTGAAACAAAAGGTCCGCGGTTTGATTCCCAGTGGAGGCACACGCCTGGGTTGCGGGTCCCCCAGTGGAGGGCCCAAGAATGGCAACCACACATTGAAGTTGCTCTCCTATCTCTCTCCCTTCCCCTCTCTTTAAAAATAAAATAAAGCTTTTAAAAACTAATAAATATCCTTAGTTGGCAGAATAAAAGGCTGTCAATTCTGTTGTGGTTCGTCATTTTTAAAACATTTGTCAGGGACTGTTGTAATAGATGAATTAACTCACCTCCCACCCCCCACAGTTGTTCTAAGGACAGAGGGAGAGAGAGGGTCTGAGAGGTACAGTGATGGATGGTTGGCTGGTTGGGCGGCCTAGTGGGTGCTTGTGTGAGCGAGTGGACGGACACACTTTGGAAAAGTAAGCCCAAGCTGCTGAGACTATGCTCTCTTTCGTAGGCCGCTCACCTGGCGGGGTCACAGAGGGGATACTTCAGGGCACATGGGCGCGCTGGGTGGCGGGCGTCGGCTCCCCCGGGCGTCCGGCAGAGACGCCCTCAGGTTCCCCCCAGACACTCACTCACTTCCGCGGGCCCCGGGCGGGCACAGCTGCGCCTCCTGCCGGCGCGCGCGCGCCCAGGTGGACGCGCCCCGGGGCCGCAGCGCTGCCGCTGCGTGTGCGCGCAGGTGAGCGTCCGCCCCGCCCCGCCCCGCCGCACTCCGCCGCAGGCTTGGCCACCTGCCTGGGAAATTTGTGGTGACTGTTGCCCTCGGGTCGCTCCGGGGCGGGGACGCGGCAACGAGCCATGGGAGATACGTCGGGGACTCGTGAGCCCCGGACCCGGCCGAGAGAGCGCGACCCAGACCGGCAGTCCCGTCCGAACGGAGACCGCCACGCCGAGCGACAGCGGGACCGAGCCGGGGACCGGCGCAGGGAGAGAAGCGGGGGCGAGCGGAGGGACCGGGACCCGGACGGGGACAGGGGGAGGGACCGAGAGTCTCGCCAAGACAGACACGGGGTTCGGGCCCATCGTCCTGATGAACAAAGAGTTTGGGAAAAATCCCGCCAAAGCCGCGCGCGGGACGGACCCCGGGGCCCCACCTGGGACGCAGCCCCGCCCCCCTGGCCGGCGCCTTGGGAAACCCTGGAGTCGCCCCCTTACAGGAAGGAGGGCTCCAAGCTCCGCGGACTAGAAAGGTGAGGTGGGGCTGCGGGCGGCGAACTGGGCGCTGGGTCCCTGGCCAGCCTGCGCTGCTCTGGCGCCCTTGGGCCACTTACAGGAAGTTGGGTTAAAGGAAGACAGTGCCATTCCCTTGCCCTCTTTGAGATGACTTGAGAGGGAAGGAAAGCCCCACTTCTCGACCTGAACCCGAATAATAACGTAGAAACCATCCCTGTTAGCAGTGGCAGAGCCGGGGGATCATGTTAGGAGTTAGGGAGGACTTCAGGACAGGGAAGGGATGGGAAGGAGGTTACGTAGTTGGAGTTAACCCGAGGCCCCTCCCTTATCCCCCACCACGTGGTCACAGGACTGTTCGCAGGGGTGTCCAACCCTCAGCCTTTGGGCCGCATGCGGCCCAGGATGGCTATGAATGAGGCCCAACACAAAATCGTAAATTTTCTTAAAACACTGTGATTTTTTTGTGTGTGTGATTGCCTGTCACAATGTATTTAATGTGTGGCCCAAACATGCCAAAAGATTGGACACCCCTGGAGCCCTAGGGTTTCAGACCTTCTTCCTGTGTTCCAGAATTAGCCTTCCTCAAAGTCTTCATTTCTTGGAGTCCAGGTCCTAATGAAGTCAGCCCAGTATCAGGTTAATAGTTTCATGTGTAACCGCTTCTAGGGGTGTATGTATTTAAAAAACAAACAGGTGGGAGAAGCTACACTTTTAACCAAAGAACTAAATCCACCAAAAACTGCACGTTAAAGGTCTTTCTGGATAGCCTCCTTCAGATTTCAGAACCCAGCCACTCCCTTCCTTTCTGTCTGAGCGAATGTTGCCTTCTCTGCCTGGTGGAACACTGAGTTCCTATGAAGCCTATGAGTTGAAAGCACCGTGGTGTTCTGGGAGACACTGAGCTGGGAGAGGGTGGGGATGGAAAGCAGGAAGGCAGGTGGACCTAGACTCCAGCTCCCATCCAACTCCACAAATACTACAGAATTCCCACATTGTGTGCTGGTCTAACAAGGGGGCAGGACCTGGAGTGATGACTTCCTTCTGGTTTTTGACGCCTGCCCACATCTGTAAGAAGGAGTCAGGTTCCTCTCTGCTGTAGGACTTGAGGATTTAGGCCCAGTCTCTCTCCCTGTTGTGTCCACACAGCCGGAAAGTCACTATCCTGAGTTTATATTACATTATCTAAAACCAACTAGCCTATCTATGACAAAAGGTGTGCCCAGATAGAGTCACAGGAACTGGCTGTTTGCCTGATTAAAGCCACATTGCATTGCAACGTTGTGACCTGGGAAAATACAGAGATGCATTTTCACTTGCCTTACAAATCAGTGACCTGGTCCATGCTGAACTGAGAAGCTCACGATGGCAGGTCCTGGCTTCCTGGTCAGATGGCATCTCCAGACTGACGAACCAGCATTGAAGCCAGTGCTCAGAATTACAGGGATAAGTAATGGCAGTAGTTAGTTGAGTTGGGCCAAATGTTTGGATGCCCTGTGGGGTCACTAAACCAGAGAATTCCCGGGAGCGTGGAACACTACAGCAAATTTTGTTTCTGTTGTGTTCGTTGTTTGAGTTCTGGACCCAGCATGAGATGTCCAGGTTCTCACACCAAAGAAGCTATTGAGATTCAGGCCCCCTAATGGCCACGCATGTTTTTAGTTACAGTGAACCCACTGCAGGGAGATACCTACCCTCGAACCCCAGACCTGGACGAGAGGAAGTGGAATACTACCAGTCGGAGGCTGAAGGGCTCCTGGAATGCCACAAATGCAGATACTTGTGCACGGGGAGAGGTGAGCCATTTTGGGTGCAGTGTGGCCATTCGCTGTTGCTGGTGTTTCTGGAAGGGAGCTGAACTGCTGAAGCAAAAGTTCAAGCACACTTGGGTTCCCAGCATTTTTGTTTCCATGCCTGCATGCAGTTCTTGTTTTCTCAAAAAAAAAAAAAAGCGTTAAGGTAGAAATGTCTGAAAGGCACAGCTAGATGTCCTGTGCTTCTCCTCAAAGGTTCCCCAGGGTCTGATGAGGCAAGCAGCCATGCCTGAAGTTTTTAAGCTCTAGGTGAGTTTCAGGGGTCTACAGGTAGAGCTGGCTACAAGCTGCCTGCTGTCAGGAGCTGAATTAGAGAGGGAAGTCACCTGGAGGGAGCAGCTGGGTTGCAGTTCACAACAAGAGATCTAATGCTCGAATGTTCCATCATGGCTTTTAAACTTTGTTGCACCCACAGTAAGAAATGTATTTTACATTCACACCAAATACACACACACACACACTTCATAAAATAATACTTAGCCTATTACATACTAAGTACGTGGATAATTTCTACTATATTCTGCTTCATTAAAACCAAACAAAAGCCAGAACCACACTTATTAACACCCAGAGTATGAAAAACACTGAAATAACATCCTGTGCCAGCTTCAAATGTGGTTTCCCAGAGTTCCCCTGCTAGCACTAGTCTCAGCCTTGCCAGCTATGAGGAAAATCTGGTTTGTCCGGGTGATCTCTTCTGGCTCACGTGATTGGGTGAGAAGTTTCCCTAGGCTGCATATGAGTGAGAGGGATTAATTTCTCAGCCTAAGGGAGAGAAATCATGGAACTTATCCCCGAGAGTGTATTTTAGGACTGTCACAACGATATACATGATTAGAGGGTTATGTGGACGTTCCCCGAAGAGCTCTAGGCAATCCTGGAACAAGAATCCTCACTGCTTTACATGCTGTCACGGCCTCATTGCTTTTAACCATCTCAGCAGCTCCTGGGGCTCAGCGAGGTGCAGTGAGTTGCACACAGTCACACAGCATGAAGCGGAAGAGCTGGAATTGACATTTAGAGTCTGACTCTGAGGCCTGAAATGGTTTACTGTCTTTACTTTTTTTTTCTTTATTTTTATTCCTGACACTGTTACAGATGTCCTCATTTACCCCCCTCTGCCTGCCACCCAGCTCCTGTCCCCCCTTCCCTCTGGCCATGGCCACACTGCTGTGAGTTATGTATGTATGTTCTTTGGCTAATCCTTTCTTCTTTCCTTGGTGATATAAATAATAGGAATAAGCCAGGCTGGTTAATAGGTTTCTCTACACAGGTATGTTTTCTTCTATGGTTGACTTACCAGGAGAGGAGGGCAGAGTTGGAGGCTCCTGGCAAAAACACACCTTGATTTACCTTTGATTGCTGTCTGGCTTCGGGCCCAGAGGTCGGGTTTCTGAGTCAGGATAGTGACTGAATGTTGCAGCAGCCGGAGGCTGACCAGTGAGAGCTTGTAAAGATCTCTAGACACGCAGAGACCCACGCAAGTGCACCGTATGGTGTTGTAATGAGAGGAGCAGCCACTGAACACCAGGAACCATTCTCAAGCAGGAAGTGCCTGCCTGGGTAAAGGTAACACGTCTTAGCGTACACCTTTTATGATTTATTTTCCTTATCAGTGAAATCATGTCCTCCTCCAGCAAACTGGCAAAAGTGGGAGGCAGCTGTGGCTCTCTCCAGGTTCCAGGGGAGACCCTGAAGTTTGGGCTATGGGTTACCCTAATTTAGGACTGTCAGTGTATGTCAGATTACCAGGAATCCTGTCTCTGTGTGGGTTGGGCTCCTTCATTATTTGGAGAGACCAGTGAGGAGTTACGTGTCCCCTGGGAAAAAAGTACATTTCCTGTTCCCCTCTTGGCCCCCAAATTTGCATTTGGAGCAGCTTCTCCTTTCCCTTTTGTTCATTCCCTCTCTTCCCTTAGTGCTCAAAGCATTATGGAGAAGATCACTGGAGAGCTAGGCCAATGCAACAAACAAGGAAGCTGTAAAAAATAACAAACAAACAAACCATGATGATATATACATTCAGTTTATAGCCTTACTTGCAAAGCATTTTTAAAAGTTTAATTTCATCCCCTGACTGATGTGGTTCACTGGATTGAGTGCAAGCCTATGAACCAAGGGGTTGCCGGTTCAATTCCCAGTCAGGGCACAGGCCTGGTTTGTGGGCCTGATTCCCAGTTGGGGGCATGTGAGAGGCAACTGATCAATGTGTCTCTCACACATTAATGTTTCTGTCTTTCTCTCTCTCCCTTCCTCTTGTTCTAAAAATTAATAAAATCTTTTTTAAAGAAAATAATGAACCTTAAAAAAAAGTTTAATTTCATTTTCTACCAAGAAAATTGTAGTTCCTGGAGTCAATGGTGCTCGCCTCTCAGAGCCTGGAGACTTAGGTTTCGAGATGGTTTCCCACAGCCAACGGCATTGACTTGTGGTCACACCGGAAAGATTCAAGGGGAACAGTTGTGGGCTTTATTCCCCCAATTAACATTCTTGCTCCCACCTTTTAGGTACTTATTTAATACCCTAACCCATTACTTATCTGGACTGAGTTCACGCCAAGATTTCAAACCACATTTGACTGTAACAGTGTTAACTCATGAACAGATCTGAAAGATTCAGCCCAGGTCAGAGGAAGGAATGACCACAAATGAACTACTGCTTCTTGGGAGTTGCAGGGGGCTTATCAAAGAGCCAGACTCCTTCGGGGGCGAGGAAGTCCTAGAGAAGCTCTGAGCCTTTATTTTTAAAAACAGATACCCCCGGACATCCGTCCCAGCCCCGGCGATTCTCTTCTAGTTCTGTCTGTTAAGCCTGAAACAGGCGCAAGGGCTTGTGGGAGCTCTCCGCCTCCCCACACTCCGTTAGGAAATATGTGGTAGATAGTTGCCCCCATTAGTGAAACACTGGGAAAACCTAAATGTCCTTTACTGGGATTATTTAAAGCCATCGTGATATTCTTTACATCCCTCAACATTATTAGGTAGATTTATTTTTACCGAGATTGAAAAAATGTTCACACAATACTCTTGAGTGGAAATATAGGTTATATAAGTAGTAGATAGACTAGGACCCTGTTCTTACCTAAACAAGCAAGTTAACAATGGCAGAAATTATGCATTTTTGACAGAAAAGTCCAGGGAAAAACTATTGTGTTTAAAAATAAATATTAGTTGAAATTTAGGTAATTTTTTACATTACATATTTTATATTTTATCTACATTTTTGTAAGCATGAATTACTTTTATAATTAAAGAAAATAATACTGCTATTTGTATTTTAGAGGAACATTTTAGAGTGTGAGGATAATATTTGAGCCCTGGCTAGTGTGACTCAGAGCGCTGTCCTGTAAACCTAAAGGTCACTGGTTCAATTCCCAGTCAGGGCGTAAGCCTAGGCTGTGAGGTCAGTCCCCAGTCAGGGTATATATGAGAGGCAAGTTATCAGTGTCTCTCACATCAATGTTTCTCACATCGATGTTTCTCTCCCTCTCTCCCCCTCCTCCCTTCTCTCTAAAGACCAATAAATATGTTCTTGGGTAAGGATAAAAAATAATAAAAATGTCATAGTCGAGAGTTTATCATTTCAGTTAGAGTATGTGTAGATGTAACTCAGCCTCACTTGTAGACCCAATGGCCCCAGACACAAAACTGGTTCTTGGACAGCCGGGGAGATGCTGACAGCCGGGGACACACTGACAGCCGGGGACACGCTGACAGCCGGACCGCAGAGTCCGCAGACCCACTGGGACCCTTGTAGCATGCACGGCTCCCAGCTCAGAAGCACCCAACTTTGTATGATGCTGAGAAAAAAAAAGCCACACCCGCTGCAGAGTACAGAACTATATGATTCCACTTACCTGGAATTCTAGAAAAGGCAAACCTATTCCCAGTGGCAGAAAGCACATTGGTGGTTGCCTGAGGAGGAAGGAAGGTGAGGGACAGACCGCAAAGGTCCCTGTTCTAGAGGACATCTGGGCAGATGAAGTGGTGTGCACCTTGATGGTGATTACGTGGTTGATTACATGCCAAGACAAACTGTGTGTATTGTGGATCGTTTTGTTGAGTACGAGTTACAGCTCAGTAACGCTGATTTTAAGGAAAGCAACCAGCTTGGGTGGAAGGGCTGGAGCTCCCCACTTGTCCACAATAAGGACACCAGGGGTGCTGAAGGAATCCAGCTCCAGGAAAACATCGTGGCATTGACGTGCCCTTGAGGAAGGCAAGGCCACACTTTAAAACACAAAGTTAAAGTCGGAGAACAGTAAAATCGGTTATTTTCTTTAATTCTGTAAGTCTGTGGGTTTAATTAACTTAATTGCTCCTATTTCTAATACATGTGAACCATGGTTAACATTTTGATGTACATCTTCCGTACTTTCTTTAACTTCATTATATTTTTTATGTTCTGTATTATGATTTCCTTCCAACTTGGAGACACCTCTTTCAAACTGAAGATAGCCACAAAACAAACCTAAAGAGGAGAAAACTATTTTTCAGTCTTTCTCTCAGGGAAGGGCTGGGGCAGAGAAAGTTCTTGCCTTCCATGTAGGAGCCTTGCTTTCTACTCACTGGCCTGCTTTCTCCCACCATCATTCTGCACCCCACCTGGGGCAGGCCGCTTGGCTCTTTTTGAGAGTTACTCTTTTCAGTCCAAAGTCCCTCTGACCTCATCTCTGGACACCACAGTTGCCTGCTACCATCTAATGCAGCTTTGGCTGTTCGGGCCTCTCAGGGGCAGAGTGAAGAGCCAGCTGTGGTTTGAGCTGCCACAGGGAAGATAGCCTCCAGGTGGGCATCTCCGAGTGTGAGATCGCGTCTCTCCAAATGGTAATGCGTCCTTCTTTTGCAGCCTGCTGCCAAATGATGGAGGTTCTCCTGAACTTGCTGATCCTGGCCTGCAGCTCTGTATCTTACACTTCCACGGGGGGCTACACGGGCATCACCAGCCTGGGGGGCATTTACTATTATCAGTACGGAGGGGCTTACAGCGGTTTCAGTGGTGCTGATGGGGAGAAAGCGCAGCAGCTGGATGTCCAGTTTTACCAGCTAAAGCTGCCCACGGTCACGGTGGCCATGGCCTACAGTGGAGCCCTCATGGCCTTCTCCTGCCTCCTCATCGCCATGGGTGTCCTGCGGGTCCCGTGGCACTGCCCACTGTGGCTGCTGGTGGAAGCCTTGCTGGACACGCTCATCGCAGGGGCGTATGTGCCAGCGCTGTACTTTTACTTCCACTCGCTCTCCGCCGCCTACACCTCTCCAGTGTGTAAGGAGAGGGAGGCGCTGTACCAGAGCAAGGGCTACAGCGGCTTCAGCTGCACCTTCCATGGGGGAGATATAGGAGCCGGCATCTTTGCTGCCCTGGGTATTGGGGTCTTTGCCCTGGGAGCTGTGCTGGCCATCAGAGGTTACCAAAAGGTCAGGAAGCTCAAAGAGAAGCCTGCAGAAATATTGACGTTTTAGGCTTTTTAAAACCTTCTGCCAAATATAAGTGATGTAAGTTACTCCGAATCATGGTCTTTCTTGGGACAGGCTGTGGAACTGGCCAGGCTTGAAATGTAACGGGGCAGCTCTGATGTCTCGGGTGCAGCTCCAGGCTACAGGGACTGTTACTCTCTTCCGTAAGAAGCCTGGTTCTGGAGTCCTCTGTTGGGGAGGGACAAATCAAAATTATTTTTAAAACAAAAAATGGAACCCAAGACTCACAAGGTAAAGGCATATGCTGCAGTGAAGTGTATTTTTTTATTAAATAAAGGGAGACGACCAAGTGAATTTAAAGAACATTATCTTTGAAGTTCACAAAAAGCCACACAGACATGAGACATTTCAGCCTGAGCTTTTCTAAAATACCTGTCTTAAGCAGAATTTTTTCCACTGAACTCTGTGGCCCTTCACTTACTTCATCCTTTGGGCAGAGCGGGTGGGGATTCCAGAGAGAGTAGCCTGTAAAATTTAGGTTGGAGGTAGGCGTGGGCTGAGGAAACAGGAATCAGATTAATTCACTGGCTTGCAAAGAAGCTATTCTAACAAGCCCCTTCCCATGGCCTTGAAAGCTCAATAAGTGTTTTGTACCTCTTATAAATGTACCATTGTACAAAGAATAACACCCAACATCTGGAATTCAGGATCCATCCAGAATAAAAGAATATAAACTTTCTCAACAGAAGAATGCTACTTTGGCCAGACAACTTCATGGGTTCTTATTACATGCTAAATTATGACTTATACTGCATTACAGTATATTCTTAGTACAAGTATGTTCTTTGCTTTATGAGAATCTAATAAAAATCCAAAAAAAATTTTAATTTAGAGGTGATGGTTTTCTTTACATTTATAATATTCCTTAAATACAGGCAACATCACATTTAAAAATGAGTTCCATTTGGGTTTAAAAAAGGAAATAAGAGTGTGTATGTGTGTATATATATGTATATGTGTGTATATATATATATGATTAGAAAATTTCTTGAATACATAAGAAAACACTAACAATTTTTACTTCTGGCGAGAAGGAGATTTACATTTTTTCATTTAATGCATGGCTGCCCATGTATTAGTTTTATTTTAGATTAAAAAATAATAATTTGACCTGCTCTTCTGGGTTTTTTTCCACATTTGCAGTGCAAAGGCAGAAGTAATGTATAATTCAGCAGAATATTAAATGATCGGCCACAAAAGCGACATCGCTGAGAAAGACGCTATTTACAACAGAAATCTTGCGTCTCTTTCAGTCTCCACTTCCCTCTGCAGACCCCTCTGCTCTCTCTGCAGCACCTGGTTCCGTCTCACTGTGGAAAAAAACTGCTCGCTCCGGCCAGCCTCTTCCTTTCCTCCTTCTTTCCTCCGATGTCTGTGACTCCTGCACTAACAGCATGCTTGGGAAAACCTGGGCCAGACTGATACTGATGGCCGAGCCAGGGCAAGCCAGCTGGTACCGTGACGTTGTTCAGTGGCCATACTCCTTCCACAGGCCCAGTACCACTGGACCTGGCAACAGACCAGGTCTGTTCCTCTTGGTTTTCACAGTCAGAGGGTCGGTTGACAAGACCTAGATTTATTCCATTTCAGCCTAGCAGATACTTGCCGCATGGGTTACGAGTCCACCGTTTTAACAGAATCGGTCCCAGAAGGCAACGTTCAGGTTTCCACATCTTGTGCATGTGTTCCTGTTTCTCCACAGGGGTGGGGGGTGGGGGGTGAGAGACAGTAACGTGTGTGTAGAGGGCACACCAAGGCAGAGAGAGTTGTTGGGGAGGGGAGTTCACCGCCTGCTGCCTGAGAGTGAGAATGTCGTCTGGGTCATTCACTCACGAGCGGCCAGTAGCTTCAGTGCCTGCGCGGAGGGTGGGCGGCTCCCATCTGCTATTCTTTTCAGAGTTAAATAAGAGGAATGTAGCTTCTCCACTGTCACAGCCCCTGACTGCTGTGTCCCACGGCCCTCCTAGGAATTTGTGTGGGCCTCGCAGGAGATAGGATCTGCAAGCCCAGCAGCTGTTGCCTGAGTATGTTAGAGATACTGGTTTTTAGCCACCCGGTTCATAAACGTTGTGGTATACCTAGTATATTAGAGGGGTTTCCTCATTTCTGAGGAGTTGTGCTTTCTGTAAATTCGTCCAGTTCCTAAATGTCCCACTAAGACCCTTCTGTTTTACAAATGTTATTGTAGAGCATCACCACCCACTTGTATAATGTTTTGTGATTTTTCAAGTATTTTCATTTTGAGCCTTGCCATAGCCCTGTGGGATAAGACAGATGGGCATTTTCTTCATTTGACAGATGAAGTGTCTGAGGCGGTGGCTTGGGCCAAGGTCACAGGCAGTAAAAGCAGAGATGTGAACCTGGCATTTCCTCTCCAGGTTCATGTGCTTTTCTCTTAGTTCAGTCTCTGAACCCTGAGAGATGGTGGGAGACCTTCTCTCAGAAGTACACCTTGAAGACCCTGGGGCCTCTCTCAGTTACAAATGAGAGCTGACCTTGGACGAGAAGACATTCATCTTTCACCTGTTGGCTCCTGATGCCTCCTGACAGTTGTAGGTTCCTTAAACTTGTAAGAACCCCTGAGGAGACAGCCTCGGTGTCCAGAAGTAGGGTCCTGAATAGACTGGTACATCAACACAGTGGGGCTGGACAGAGGCCACACAGCAAACAATGTGGACACTGTGGGAGCTGATCTGGAAACCCCTCTGGGAAGAGTAAGTGGGAAAAAAAGCAATCTGCAAAATAATGTATGGGGTGTGCTTCCTTGTGAAAAAAGCCTGGAAAGGGGGAGTGCAAGGCAGGTTTGAGTGTGCTTCTACTCACATGAGGGAACGCTGTAAGTTTTATTAGAAAACTGTGAAAGTGGTCAGGGGTAGAGAACAGGGTGGACAAGGGCGTGAGTGGTTTTTTCTCAGTGCATACCTTTTTACATCATTAAAAAAAACTTTAAAGTGTGAAATACAGATTCATGTTGCAAAAAATTATAGAGATCCTGTGCACCCTAAGCTCAGTTCTCTCCATTGTGCCTAATGACAGTACAGTTTCACACCAGAAAACGGACAGTCTACAGAGCTCAGATGTCACCAGTTTCATGTGCACTCGCGTCTGCACGTGTAGTTCCGTGCAGTTTCATCACATGCAGAGTCGCGTGACCATCATAACCAAGTATAAAACTCTTCCACCATCCGGCACCGTTTGTGTCCCCTTTACAGTCACATGCACCTCCCCACCCCCCAGGAATCACGGTCTTTTGTTCTCCGTCTCTACGGTTTTGTCCTTTTGAGACAGGTATAGAAATGCAGTCACACAGTGTGTAACCTTTGAGATGGGCTTTCCCCTCACCCATCATAATTACCTTGAGACCTGTCCGAGTTGCCTGGATGAACGGTTTGTTTCTTTTTATTGTTGTCTTGAATATTCCTTGGTGTGGATGGACTGGATTGTCCACTGAGGGGCATTTCCATCGTTTCCAATATTTGGCTATTACAGCTACGGTGGACATTCATGCACATGTTTTTGTGTAGACCTAAGTTTCCATTTCCTTAGGGTAAGAGTTCAGGAGTACAGTTGTAGGGTCACATGGTAAGTGTATGCTTAGTTTAAAAAAACAACAGAAAAACCTGCCCAGAAGCCCGGGCCGGGCAGCTCAGTTGGTTGGAGCATCATCCTGATACGCCAGGGTTGTGGGGTGGTTCCCTGATCAGAGCACACACAGGAATCACCCAGTGAATGTGGAAGTGGAGCAACAAATCAATGCTTCTCTCTCTCCCCCTTTCCCTCTCTCTTTCTCTAAAATCAATAAATAAAAAATTTTAAAACTGCCAAAAATTTTTCAGAGTGACATTGATTTTTGAAATGTATGAATTTTAAAAAGCAGACCAAGGAGGTTGATGTTGAATCTGACCATGTCCTTAAAATGAGGCCAGCTGTGCTTCTCCAGCCTGACCTTCGAAGTTTTGCAGGGTGAGTGACACTGGTGCTAAACCCCAATCTCTCTCCTCCTAGGTGTGGTACAGATAGTGGAGGTGATATTGAATGGGATGGTTCTCATGTGTATCGTGGCGTCCTACTTTGTCCTTGCTGGATTCAGTGCCAGCTTTACCAGTGGTGGCGGCTTTGGGAACAACTATTACTCACCGTTTGAGGGCACCGAGCTGGAGCAGGTTCGGCAGCTGGACCAGCAGTACACAGTCCTCCGGGCACCCCTGATATATGGCGGCGTGGCTGTTTCTCTGGGGCTGGGTGTCCTCACCATGGGTGTTTTACTCCAAGGAGCCAAGAGTCCAACCAAACTGCCAAGGAAGTGGCTTCTCCTGGAGGCCACCTTCAGCCTCCTGGCAGCAGTGGGCTATTGCATAGGCATCGGCATTTACCTCCACACAGCCTTGCGAATCAATGCTACAAACACTTGCAAAATGAGAGAGAGGCTCTATGCTCGCAAAGGCCTCACCTGGATGAACTGCCAGCTGGCAGGCACTGATGGAGCAGCAGCCACCTTTGCTTGTCTTCTGGTGATCATGTATGGAGCCAGCGTGGTGCTGGCTCTGCGGAGCTACCGAGAACAGAAGCACTACGAAGACAGCCAAGAACAGCACAGGAATCACAGTGAGGCACCGGAGTTATCTGTGGTCTGAAACACTCTGAGATTTTCTGGAACCAAAGTGTCAACCCACCCTCTTTGTTTCTCAGAAAGATGGGCCCTTTAAATATTGCACATTTGACACCTGATGTTTCACATACTTGATTTTGTAAATGCTCTTTGGTACCAGTGCAAAACTAGATGGTAGTCTCATTTTTCTATCAATAAGCTTTAAGCTTTTTAAGCTCAGAGCTTGAAAAAAAAACTTCACCTTTGCCACAAAGAACAGAAGTTTGTGTACGCCATTATGGCATGGCTCCCACACCCAAGGTCAAGTAGTGGTGATGATAGCTAAGTAGCCAGAGACATTCTGAAAGTTGCAAACTACACACCAGGCCCAGCATCGAAACAGAAATGTCTCCCCTGTCTCAATTATTTAAAGTCACTAAAAGAAACATGCCATTTCCCCTCAGACCTGGTCCCAGGGGAATGACTTTTAAAGCAGTTGTGTGATTAAATTCTAAAGGAGTAATTATTTTCTGACCCTCTTGTAGAGGGAAAACTGTTCCGCCCGCAGGGGCACCGTGTTGCCTAGATCCCAGGGAGGCTGGATTTCTCATACGTGGAGAAATATTTTCAGCATGCATGTTCTTCAAGATTCCTGCACTAAAGCTGAGAGAAAATGTTTTCTTTTGCCAGCATGCCAAGTTAGTTTTTTTTTTTGTGCAAGTCAGTCAACTTTCCTGTGACATGTTTCTTAAACATAAGGCTCCCCAATAGTGTGATAAATAAAAGTCATAAACTTCTTCAGTGTGTGATTCAACTATTTCAAAGGTAAAGCAGTTGATTTTACTAGACTATAAAGGCTTATAGAAGGGTCCTTCATTGCTGCATTCCCCAGCCCTGCTCTAAAGCAGACCCTCCAAGGTAGATTGTACTATCTCATGACTCTGAACTGTTCTTACAATGTAACAGGTCATAAACACTGAATCTCAAAAATAAAGTTCTTCAATAATTTTAATCTAAAGTTTTATAGCTGTTCTTACACTTTGCAACCAGTCTCAGATTTTATTATATAAAAAATATATTCTTTATTTATTTTTAGAGAGAGGGGAGAGGAGGAGGAAAAGGGAGAAACATCAATGTGTGGTTGCCTCTCGCATGCGCCCCAAACTGGGGACCTGGCCTGCAACCCAGGCACGGGCCCTGACTGGGAGGTGAATTGGGATGCTTTGGTCCTTTCGCAGGCTGGCACTCAATCCACTAAGCCAGCCAGGGCTAGTCTCAAATTTTCAGTTCGTGTCAGATGCAACTACAAACACATTACGTAAAGAATAGGGTTTTTTTTGGTAATTTTCCTCTTGCTTTTCAATAGCATTCTTATATCATTTTGTTATTATAAACAAGATTAAACTATTAATAAATTCAAACCAAATTCTTAGAAATTACTAAGAACAGCAGTTTTGACACAAATCTCACATTCTCTAATCTACACAGTAAGAAATCAGCAAACACAATCCAGTTTCAACATTTGCCAAAATGCCTGTTAGGAAATGAAGTCGACATCATTTCCTCCAATGTGTTGGCCACTTTCACCGCTGCACGTTTGCCGACTCCACCCCCTCCCCCAGCCCAGGCCTCAACACCGCCCTGTGATCGTGCCTTCCGTGATCCCCTCGAATCCTTTCCACGGCTACATCTTAAGAACCTATTCAAGCGAAGGATCAAAACAGAACCTCATACAGGAATGGGACATTATCTAAATTATACTTTTACAAAAAGTAAAGCTTGGAGGACACTGAACTAGAAAGCTACATTGCTAGGTTAAAATACAAACGTTTGTGCCACAGAAAGTCACTTCCACTCTATCCCCCATAGCCCCCCAGTTTTCACTGAGTATACAAAACGTTTACCCACAGCAGAAACCAAACCCCCCATTCCCTACCACCACCACCCCGTGAAAAAACTAACCCCTCCCACACACTATCCTTACTTAGCACTTACTCCCTGAGGCCTGTCCCGTGTCTGGGTCGTGCTCGATGAAGCAGCGAGGACTTCGGCCTCCTGACACCAACGCTGTACCCGTCCCAGCTGTAACACTGCCGCCAAGACTGAGCTCCTCTCAAGCGATGGAGCCCATCCATCTCTGTAATCACAACACTTGACATCTACAGTTTCCACCTCTTATTTCCTACCACTTGTTGAGGAGGCAGGTCAAGATTTGTCATTCACATTTTACAAGAGACAAAAGGTCCAAGGTGAAGTGGTTTATGCAATAGCTGGCATTCTGTCAGCTGCTCCCTATATGCCAGATCCACTATTGAGCTAAGGAAGCATCTTGCATCATCTCATTTAAGCTCACAATTTAAGAGATACTATTATTTCTATTTAATCTTGAAGAGGTTAACTTACCTAAATGCAAACCTTCTACATGGCAGAAAACCTTGGGAACCAATGAGTCACACCTTGGAACATGCTGTGACTAATGTACTCTTGTGGCTTTGGTGTACCAGGGAACTGTATCACACAAAGCAGAGGACACACTCAGAGAATGTCACTTCTGCCACCCTGGAACTGGGAGGTGTGTCTTGTAGAGCTGAGGCATTCAGAGTAGATGATGGTGTTGGACCTTGTGCGCTGAGTGCTTAATGAAGACTGTGAACCAGCTTCTCAAAATGTTCCACTAATGAGGAAACCTGAAAAATGACTTCAACGTGGAATTTATTTTGAGTGACAAGCAGGAATCTTGCTTGAAGTCCAGAGATTTGGGAGACAATGGGGGGAGAAGAGAGGAATAATTTAGAGGCTTACCTAGATTATAAGTATTTTATGAGCCAAAACCCACCAGTATGTCTGAAACTGTAATACCAAAGTCACTATTACATTATATCAAACATGGGGGCCAGATTATCTACTTAAGGAGAGCTGTAGATTTTTTATAATTGAGTTTCCTCTAGACAACTAGAGGAAATCACCCGCATATAAATAAGGACCATGTTTCCTGATTTGGGTTAAAAAAAAAAAAACCCATAAACCAAGTCAGAATATAACGTTTCTTAACATAAAAAAAAATCTTTATTGCTATTTCAGCTTAAAAGGTGATCAAAAATACTCTGCCCTTAACTCATAGCTTCATAGAGTGTCATGGAATGTGGTTTCATTTGTCATCTTCCCTGAAAGCAAGAAGCAGAGAAAGTCTAATGGTGTTTTTGGTTATGAAACTAATTCTACATACAAGTTAGAGAAAATTACAGTCTCATGCTAAAAATAAAAGTATTTATAAAATAATAGGTATTCCACTTTAAAACAAAGCCATGAAAAAGATATTCCATTTTATTTTATTTATTATTATTGTTATTGTCATTTTTTACAAACAATAGATTTGCTGCAACATGCTCTGGCTCATATTATTGAATTAAAAAATTTAACACATTTCAAAAATATCAAAAATACACTATAATGAGTCTTAAGACTACAATACGACAATGATTGCACAAAACCGTAAGATATGAACTCACTGTTGGATGACATCCACTGGCAACAGTGAGAGGAAACCCTATAGCATCTGGGAGAAGTGCATGAAATTTAGAATACAAGGAGCTTATGTGTGATTGAATGGTCACCAAATGAGGGAAACAGCAGGGTTCACTGTAGCTGCTTTTCTCAGTCTAGGAAGTGCTTATCCAGCTACGGGCAAAAGTCACTAACCAGAGAGAAAGATTAACTTGCCTCCATGTTTGGGGAGTCTGAAAGGCCCCGCCCAGAGGGAAGTAAAAAGTGACACAAGACAGTTCTATAGTGATGCTACAGACATCACCGAATGGCTTGGAGACTATTTAATAGTTGATACATTTATCAATAACAGCCAAGTGCTCCCTTATGGAGGTCTCTTCATGAATAATTATTGAGTAGACAGAGGTGAGCCCGTGGCTTCCAAGTACCTGCTTTTGCTGAAGGTCTACATGGAAAGAAGAGTATCATTTGTTATTCAGTAGATTGGCCAAACCTAACTAACTGGCTCCATCTCCTGAAAAACAGCACTCGCTACAAGCAATTATAATAGCACCCAATGATTACCAAGCTGCTCATGTTGGCTCTTCTATACACCAAGAAAATGAACTCACACACTTATTGCACACGTACACTCTACAGTAGTATAAGAAAGCCTTCACTTGTGTTTGGAGTGGTAACTCACTCTACGGTAGCATGGTAGTTTTGTGATAAACCAGCACTCAAATTTTCAAATATATTCCCGATTCATTTGGATTAAAGTAAGAATTCCACGGCTGCCAACATCTGTGAATTTTTCTTTCTTCCATAAAATGCTGAACTGCTCCCATAAGCAGGAGTGATGTTCTTTCAGAGATTCTCTTAAACTTTTCTATTAAATGGGAGGTACACACGGAGACCTGAGAATCATGCAGAGGCCAGGATCTCTGGAGAGAGATCGATGGTACTCTGCCCACCTGGGGAACACGTCCTCGGGGTGCGTCCTGGGAAGCAGGTCACACTCACCCGGGGACGGACTCCTGTCTTTCACCACCTGACAGTCTAACCACACACAACTACTGTAAACGGCCTCAAAGGTCAAAAGATTCTGTATATTTTTGGTAATGGGCTATGGCCTTTTTATCCTCTGTTTCAATACAGAGCAATTATACAGGAAAATGAATTAAAGAAAGTCGTTATAAAAAAAATAATTAGTTTTGGTATAGCATACATGAAAGGTTTCCAATACAACTTAATGTTTCCTGAAAATACATCTACCACACAAAACACTGGGAATTTTAGAGTTCTTCTGACTAAAAAGTACATTTACTTGTGATGAAGTCACTTGAGAATGGGGTTTCGTGGTGGTTCCAACGAGTAGGGTGGGTAACAAAGAAGACAAGAGAATTCACAAATAAAGGAAAATTTTTAGAAATTTTACTATTTTAAGAAACTATACTATTAAAATGGTATGTTCCCCAAACAGCGTTCTTTCCCAGATAACATCATTACTTTATCACTGAAGTTTTCTGCTGTCTGGGTAGGAAGATGTTTTACATCACCTGTCACTATCCTCTCGGGGGTGTCCTTCATTTTCATTTTTCCTTCACCTTTTCCCCATATAAAAATAAGGCAGCAACACACTCTCGTTCCCATCTTTCTAACAGCACCTAAAACTTTGTACGAACCACTATGTTCCCCACTCGTATCACGACCTGAGTTCTGAAATTCTGCAGTAGCCGACTAGTAGTTTGACGCAGGAAGTCACGTGTTCCTGACAATTTGGGGGCTCAAATTCAGATTCTTGAGGAGTCAAACTTTGACAGTCATCAAAGTGTATGGTGTCCCCCAAGAGTGTCTCCCACCAAAACACGCACACGGGTAGGAGGCCTCTGAGAAGGTGAAGGTACATCATGACCAACCATTTGTGGACGGGTCCCCTGTTTTTCTACTATTGCTTTAACAAAAACAAACACCCCCCGAAACCCACATATTTAATGTATATATCAACCATATCTTTAACATTTTTATTTCTCATGAAACAAATTAAAAATGGTTCCACTCTACTATCTTTTTAATTGTGAAAGTACTCTAGAAAGTCAAAGCATATTCCCCATTGGGTAATATCAAGCAGTGTCAAAATTTTGTAGGAATAAATAGGAATTCATTTTCCTAAGTAAATATTCTAATGGAAAAGGCAACAGAACAAAAATATGGAAAGAACTGCATTTTTCTAGGGTTACATGGAATGTGCAAAAAATACAGTAAACCAGGTTTTCTGTCAGCTTCGGACCTTAATTAAGTCTTTCTTATGTTAGTAATTGAGCCCAGTACTCTCAAACCATGGAACATGGATAAGCAGTTTTCAGAAGAGTACTCTGTTAAACATGGAAGAGGTGAACTCTCAACTCACCTGCAACATTGTAGAAAACCATCCCTAAGCTCTAGAGTAAGAAAAGGAACTGTCTGACCCCCTGAGCTCCACCCACCCACCC